TTGAAACCGAGATTGACAAGGCAGAAATAGCTGGCGTGACAAAGTACTCATACCTAAAGGAACTCGTAGACCCGAAGATACGAGCGGAAATAGACGGCTTGCCCTTCTCAGTAGAGGGATACGAGCGTGCGAAGAACATCTTGGCAAGGAAATATGGACAAACAAGCGAGGTCGTGAACGCGTACGTGGAAAACATCATGTCTTTGCCTACAATTGGAGGAACACAGCCAGCCAGAATCCATGATTTCTACGAGAAGCTTCTTTTCAATGTGCAATCATTGGAAACAATGGGAAAACTGCGAGAGGTGAATGGATACGTGCGGATGACTATTGACAAGCTGCCGGGGATAAGAGGGGATCTTGTGCGAACAGACGATTCTTGGCGAGAGTGGAACTTTCCAAGGTTAGTGGATGAGCTTCGAAAATGGACAGAAAGAAACCCGATCCAATCCAAGCAAAGCGATAAGCCCTGGCGTGTCGACAAACCCTGGCGTGACAAGAATTTCCAAGTCCAACAGCAGAGAGATGGCAAAAATCGGGGATGCGTTTATTGCGAAAGCCAAGATCACAGATCGGTCGACTGCAAAACGGTAGCCAGCCTCGACGATCGCAAAAGGATGCTTAGCAACAAACGCCTTTGTTTCAATTGCACCGGAGGCAAACACAGGGCTGAAGATTGCAAAAGCCGTTCCATGTGCCAGATTTGTAAGAGAAGGCATCACACGTCCATCTGCAACAGCGTCAGTAACCAGTTAATGACAGCGACTTCAACGCAAAGACCAACTGTGATCTATCCAGTCGTCGTAGTGGAAGTGATGGGAGTTAAGTGTCGTGCGTTACTAGACACCGGCGCCGGAAGTTCCTACGCTTCAGCAGCGTTACTTGATCACATAAAGATTCGCCCTCATCAACGAGAAGTACGACAGATCGAAATGATGATGGGAGTAGTCACTAAGCCGGTGGAAATCTTCAAAGTGCAAATAAGTTCACTGCAGAGCGATTTCATCCTTGAAACGGACGTGACTAAGGTGAATAAGGCACAGCTTTTATCCCTGGAAAACCCTCGCTACCGGCAAGTCCTGGAAAGGTACGACCACTTGAAGGGAGTGAAGATGGACGATATGGACCCAAAGGATTACCTTCCGGTGCACCTTATCTTGGGAGTGTGTGACTATACTAAGATCAAGACTGTAACAGCACCTCTTATTGGAGCCGCAAACGAGCCTATTGCCGAGAAAACTAAGTTCGGATGGACCATTATTTCACCGGGCAAAGAAGTGGATCTGTCTCCCATGTTCCTGACGCAGACATCAACGGTAGATTACGACAACTTGTGCAGACTGGACGTGCTTGGACTGGCAGATTGTGCAACTGGTGACCAAGACGAGGTGTATTCAGAGTTCAAAGAGCAACTAAGACGAGATGATGAGGGTTGGTACGAAACTAGCCTACCATGGAAAGGGAACCACGCACCTTTACCAACCAACGAAGCAGGAAGTCTTCGCAGATTAACAGGCCTCGTAAAGAAGCTGCGTGGCCAAGGAATGATAGAACGTTACGATCAAGTAATCCAAGACCAAATCAAGACCGGGATAGTCGAGAGAGTTAGCACACCCGCAACTGGGCAGCACGAATTCTACATTCCTCACAAGGCAGTGGTACGCGACACAGCAGAAACCACTAAGCTTCGAGTGGTCTATGACGCGTCAGCACGGGCCTACTCTGGTGCACCCTCGTTAAATGAGTGTCTGAATCCTGGACCACCTCTTCAAAACAAACTCTGGAGTGTCCTAGTTCGTTCTCGATTTCATCCAATAGCAGTCGCAGGAGACATTAAGCAAGCTTTCCTTCAAGTACGAATCAAGGAGCCAGACCGTGATGCGCTGCGATTTCATTGGTTAAAGGACCCAAGCAGTCAAACAGTGGAGACGTTGAGGTTTACAAGAGCCCTCTTCGGTCTCACATCATCGCCATTCCTCCTGGGAGGCGTGATCCAGCACCTGTTGGAGAGTTGCAGACAAGACCACCCGGACATTGTCAGCGAGATAGAACGCAGCTTATACGTCGACGACCTCATCAGTGGTGGCCCTACCTGTGAAAAGGCAAAGGAAATCAAATCAGCTTCTCAGGAAGTATTCGCCAAGGGCACCTTCGAGTTGCATAAATGGCATTCGAATGTGAGAGAGTTGGAATCGGCCGCCTCTGAACCAGCCGCTTCTGAACCAGTCTCGATTGAGGAAGAAACGTATGCAAAGGAGCAGTTAAACGTCCCCAGAAGAGAAGGAGCTACCCTGCTTGGTTTGCCATGGGACAAAGCAAACGATACCATCGGAGTAAGTTTTCCACAAGAAAAAGCTGATCCCAGCAAGCGGGGAATCTTAAGCAAAGTGGCACGGATCTATGACCCACTGGGATTGGCCTCCCTATCTCATTAGGCGGTAAGCTCCTCTACCGTGACGTGTGTGATGCCAAGCTAAACTGGGATTCAAAGCTACCAGGC